AAGTGCGACGTAAGTACACTGTGTTTTTATGGCATAGTTACGCGGGACTTACCTACATACGATGTAGTTATAAGTAGGAGGAGTCCAAACATGCAGAGACTTATTTCTACTTATAACCTACTTATCCTACTTATGTTTTTGGATGTTTTTAGATACCTGTAAAACATTGGCACGCCGCGCGTCAAGAAAACTGAAGTTTTTTTGGGCTCAGACGTATTTGATTTTTGGAGGAAGGCGCCATGGCATCCGTAGAGCGACAGCTGCGAGCATCACAGAAGTTTTTGGCTGGGCTAACAAAGTTACCCATGTATGGCCAAGCGAGACAAAAGCAGATGGAGATGATTTTGAAATCACTTCGGAGTGTGAGAGAAATCAACACAAGCGCTGCAGCATCTTTGATTTCTTCGTTGCAAGAGGATCTATGGGATCCGGAGTCTTTGCTTAGCATCAAGACTGCTATATCGGAGAAGACCGATGCAGCGGAGGTTTCGCAGCAGCGGCGGCAGCAGCAAGATTTCTTGGAGCTGCCTCGTTATCTCACGGAAGAGATGTGGCGATCAACTGCTGGAACCCAACACATCTCCCGCCGCCTCAGTGGAACGCATCTGCGCACATGCTTATGCCCTAGGCCTTAGACTCCCCAGTGAGATGACCGTGGCGATGATTATCACACTGGCGTACCAGACGAAGGTGCCAGGCATGACTGGGCATGAAAAGTTTAAATTACTGGAAAAGAACAAGCCTGTGATTAAGAAGCTCCTGAGCGGTTCTGCCCCCCGTGTGTTTTTGACTACCTTGCCTGCTGCGTTGGAGGATTTTCCGTGGGAGTTGAACGAAGTTGCTTTTCCGGCGGGGACAGCGCCAGCGCCACAGCCGCTCCACATGGACTTTGGCCGTGTTGCGCGTTCTTGGCCAATGCGTTGGTCCAACAGGTTGGCTGCAGCAGGTTCGACCCCGGGTGTTTTGGACCGGCCAGACCACAGCGCACAGGAGGCGACGCTGAGTAGATTGGCAGAGGCTGTTGCGTCGACCGCGCAGCTGGCCGTGCAGGCGGTTGCAACCAAGCAGGCGGCAACAGATCGGCGGCCTTCGAATGTGAGCACACAGTCTGATTTGGAGCCAGTGCTTGCATTGGAGGACATGGACCGCACTGCAGGTGCAGGCGCAGGGGCATTGGAGGACATTGCCCCGGAGGAGGTGCAGGAGGCAAAGGTTTCGACCAATGTGCCAACCGCTGCATTGTCTGCAGTAGAACAGCAGTTGCTTGACTTGCAGAACAGCGTGCGGCCTGTCCTCAAGCGTCCTTCTGGCGCGCTGAAGGAAGAACCGCCAGCTGCTAAATCTGGTTCGGGCAAGACGCTGAAGAAACCTGCTGCGCAGCAAGCCAAGGAGAAACCGAGGCCCAAGCGCGGAGTACTGGCTAAGCCTGCGGCTGCGCTGGACCGCCGCGGTCAGGGACCCGACACCAAAAAGCGTTTTGCGTCAAGGGCATACTTTAAGGCGAGACGCCAGGCTCTGTCACAAAACAAGGGAGATGAAGAACCTTTGAAGTTGGCGCGCAAGGCTCATCGCCAAGCGTCCACACAGTGGGACCGCTTACACGCGGTGTGATGAGACGCCAGATTCTTTTTTCGACGAGGACGGAGAAACAAAAATTGGAAGGAGTTTTGTTTGTTTGTGTTCCTTTTTTTGTGGGGGGCTCGGGTGATGCGCGTTTCCGCAGGCATATATAGGCTCACGAGCGGCGCTAGACGCGCGACAGACAGGCGAGACTCGACCGGGGCGCGACTTGTTATCGTTTATGCTTTAAGCTAGATATATTATAAGCCGGTGATCATTGGTCACGAGTGACCTGCGCGGTGACTCGTATCCGTGGAGTCATGGCACTTGCGGGGTGACATGTGATCCATGGCGTTCACCTGTGCGGTGGACGGAACTACCTGCGTGGTGGTTCGCATCCAAAGCATCACCTGCTCGGTGATGTTTGGTTTCTGCGTCACCTGCGTGGTGGCGCAATCCAAAGCATCACCTGCTCGGTGATGTTTGGTTTCTGTGTCACCTGCGTGGTGGCGCATGGCGGAGAGATGTCCGTCACCTGCGTGGTGAGGACTCTGTCACCTGCGTGGTGGCAGGAAGAGATGATTGCGTGGTGCCATGTCACTTGCGTGGTGACATGGACCACTTATATGCGATCACCTGCGTGGTGGTTGTATCCTTCCCTTCGTCACCTGCGCGGTGGCGATGGGTTTCTGCGTCGCCTGCGTGGTGGCGCAGGACTGAGAAGTGTCTATCACCTGCGTGGTGAGGACTCTGTCACTCGCGTGGTGGCAGAAGGTTGTATATGGTTCTGTGTCACCTGCGTGGTGACACGGGCCACTTGTGAGCCCACCTGCGAGGTGATCGATTCTTTTATATATATATATATAGATACATTTATAATACATGTGCTCTTTGGATATAGACTTCTGTATAGCTTTCACTTGCATCACGCGCTGCAGGTACGAATGGCGCCGCCTCCTGAGTCTTCACCAGAGCGCAGCCAAGCCGATGAATCAGAGTACTCGTATGAGTCCTCTGAGAAAGCTGCCAAACCCAAGCTGGTGCCAAAGGCCGCTGCAGCGAAAGCAGTCGAGCGCGGAAGAAGCCCGAAGCAGGAGAAGACCGAGCGCTCTCGGAAGGGAAGCCCTGTGAAGACGCGGGACAGGAGAGAGGGCGACTCTCGCTCGCAGAAAGAGCAGGCGGCCTCTGCTCGCAGCTCTCGTGGCGGAAAGGATGAGACTGTCACGAGACCGGTATCGCCTGAAAACCCCCCCAGAGAGGGGGATGGTTCTGAGCAGGGAAGGACTCGGTGCGCGCTCTGTTGGCGCAAGGTTGGGAGTTCTTCGGCTGCGCGTGAGCAGCATGAATATGGCAACTTGTATTGCCTCACGTGGCAGCACTTTCGGGCCTTA